GGTGGCGGGCTGGGGCGCGGGGCTCCGTTCACCGCCCTACGCCGGGGCCTTCGCGCGGGGTACCTGAGGTGAAGCCCCTCTGGGGGTGGCCCGCCTCGGCCGGGCCCTGCGTTTCTCAAGAACTCCCTACTCCCCCCCACTTTTTTTTTTTTTTTTCTATTTAAAATTTATTTTAAGGTCGTGATTAATTTCAGCAAACGAGCTATCTTTGCTTTCCCTCAAGGCACGCGTATCCGTGGAGGTCCTTTGCGCTTCTCAGGCAGGTCACGGATAAGTCTGGAAGGCTTAAAGCTATTTGAGGTGGTGTTTAGGTGTTTCTTACTGTATCGCCTTGTGGGAAAGGAATTTTTTAGTAAGGGTCCTGATCAAAGAGCCTTTTGGGTATGATTCGTGTAAACTTCGTTTGTATCAAAGTGTGGAGAGAGACACGCACACCCCCAGTCCGAAAAAAGTGAATCAAAATGGGCTTTTTCAGGTGAAGTGAAAGAGGAGCTCTGGGCTGTACTCGTGACAGCGGAAAAAAATTGTATTTGCTTCAGGCAGCTGTCTGTCCAGCTGTTTGTTTGTTTATTAATTTATTTGTTTTTATTACCATGAAGGTTGCTGTGTTTTGTTTTGTTTTAGTCTTGCCTCAGGTGCTTTGCTGGACCTGCTTGTCTCTAGTGCCCTGAATAAAGGGCAATATTAGGGATAATAATTACATGTGCTGAAAAACAGGACATTCTAGGAAGATGTACAGCCGAGACCTCTGCTCTTCAGGTCTCTCTGCTGATATTTTCCATGTTTTATCTCAGACCAGTGACTGAAAGGAAGCTTGCATGTTCAATACCCAGAAGTAATTTATCTTATACTGTTAAGCCGTTTGTCTTCATTGTCCTTCCAGTTATTTTTCTTTTCCATTATTTTTGCTTATTGATGAAAGAAATATTCCATCTGCGTTCGTTAAGAAGCAAATGGGCCAGGAGAAAATCAATCAAATAATGTAAAATACTTTAACATTAATATTTTATGTCTGTGCTGATATTTTTAAATATTTAAAAATATTAATTAGCTTAGTGCATTTTATGAAATGTGCTTACATGGCTAGAAAGTGTGTTACAAGAAGTAGCTACTAATACTTTTTTATAGTGACTGAGCAGTTGGAAGTCAGACTGGAGAGGGTGGTTTCTTTCAGAGCGATACTTTGATCATATACTGAACATGGACAGTCTCTTCTTTTGCAGTTCTTTGTCTTATTTCTGCAACCTTGCACAGTAATAAACTCTGATCATCTTGGCTACAAATCCAGTAATCCTGTTATTCGCACTGGTGCTAAACCTTGGCTGTTTGCTTAACCTTTTTGGCTTTGATTACTGAAGAAATAATTAGAATTTACAGGATGCAGGGGAGACTTTAATTCTGATTTTTCTGTCTTACTTCCTGAGTTGTGTATTAGAAGTTAAATGATTGATTCAACAGGTGCTTAGATATTTCCTTGATCAAAGTTAAATTCAGTTTTTCGTACTCTTTTTATCTTGCAGGTTGAAAATGTGAAATTACTAGATCGCTATACAAATAAGAAGGCAGCAAATGGGACGTTATACCTGACAGCTACTCACCTAATCTATGTGGAGGCTTCTGCTGAAGCCAGAAAAGAAACATGGGTATGTTGTGATACCTGGAGTCTGTTTGAACACAGGTTTAAAAATTACTTTATATCTCATATCCAAAATGAGCAGGTTTATGAATTCCAGAGTTGTAGTGGTCTTTTATACTGTTTTGGTACCAAATGCTTAACAGAAATGGCTGTTTTGGAAGGAAATGAACACAATGGTAATGTGACTTGATAGAGGTCACTCGCTGAGTTATGGTTAGTTCCAGGAACATAAAAAACCTTGTCTAGTTTCCTATCTCAAACTGAGTGCACCAAGCCACCGAGCTTGAGTTTACAGCTTTTAGAAGTGCAAAATTAGCACTGAAATTAACCTTTTTTATTAATTCTAAAGTAAAGTGGGAATGGCAAAATATATTGCATATGGGGGTGGAGGGAAAGCAAAATGAACCAGGTAAACTGAGCTGCACGTCAGTGTCTAAAAATAATTTATCTACATGTGTATTTTTTCAGTCTTGCTCTTAATTACCTAGCCTTTAGGTACACAGTCTGGATGTTTATTATGTTTGTTTGATGAATATTGCAAATAAACTAATTTTCTGCTGCTAGTTAGATGCAGTAAGCATATAGCTGATAGTACTGAAAAAACTTTAATATCTGCTTGTACTGTTCGCAACCTTACCAGTGGGTTCTGAAGAATGTTGTTTGTTTCCTGTTTTTCAGATTCTGCATCACCATATTGCAACGGTAGAAAAATTGCCTCTGGCCACAGCTGGATATCCACTCCTTATTCACTGCAAGAACTTCCATGTGGCTCACTTTGTTATTGGGCAGGAACGTGATTGTCACGAAGTGTATACCTCGTTGCTTAAACTTTCACAACCAGGTATTTAGGAGGGGAGCCTGTTTTGCAAATCCTTGAAACACTTTAAGCTGGAAGGCTCGTCTGAGCGATAAAGCTTTGCCTGCCAGACTGTCGGTACAGGAGGGGGAGGATGTGAAATCAGAATGCGAGACGATCTGTGTGGGTCGGCTCAGTAAGTAGAGTGCTGCCCTGTGGACCAGGGCGTTTGCTTCCAAACTAAACACAAATCTTCTGTGGCAGTGGGAATGAGGTGGTGTCCTATGAGGAACTTCCGAAGACCCGTGCAAAGTTTGTTTTCCCTGACTGTGTCTGTATACAGCATCTCGGGCTTTTTTCTTGTAGCGCTTGTGCTGAGTGTCACTTCCCATACCTGGCCTTTGTCAGTCATTTCTGTCAGGTAGCTGTTGGCTGTGTGTAGTTCTGCCTCTTCCAGATGATCCACATGTTCACAGAATCCTGGAATCCCCCAAATAAAGCTTTAAACATTGGCATCTTCCACTTGTTTCCCAATAGCGTGTTTAGGCTACTCTTCAGTGTTTGTCTTCTTTCAGTTGTAAAACCCTGTGCTTCAGCCTGGCTGCCCTGACTTGGAGTCACTCTTAAATAAGAGCGTAAGCAAAACCTCCTCAAAAGCCTGTGGTCTCTTCTGGCTTTAGCTTTCCAGTCCATCATGGATGAATCTCCAGGCTCCTTGTTCTTCTTGCAGGACAGCATTCCACTGAGCTTCCTGCCTGGCCTCTGTGTATGGCACCTTCTGTTTTTGGGGTGCTCCTTCAGTGAAACAGTACTTGGAGTTCGGTATTATTATAAGGATGCCATTTGTAATTGCATTTTGTGATAATGCTGCTCATCTAATTGATAGCACCAGTCTGCTTCATGCTGGCCGTCACATAGGACTTGAATAGAAATACTATAGTAGAAATGGGTTTTGTCAAGTTTGGGGTTTTTTTGATTCATACTAAGGCTTGTGTCTAGTCCCAGCATCTCCCTTGTGCGCTGAGCTTTGGCGTTTTCTTTGTTCTGAAGTTCTAATTCTAATGCTGTATCTGGCAGGTTTCTGGTGTTATGTTTAAAAGCTGTCACTGTTCTTTCAGTTTGGAAAATTAGAGCCTTACAGAGTGTCTTGAAGCACAGGAGCTGTCACTGCGGGGGATTTCATTGGTTTCTTTTGTGGTTATTTGTGTAATATGCTGTAGCGCTTTTGTTCTATTTATGGATTTTAACAGTTCTCTTGTTTTAAAACTTCTGAAGGTATGCTTCCTTCATCTTTTTTTTGGCAGAGCATATAATTATTTATGATTTGCACATGTATGATTGACAGCTATGGGTTACCTGTCTGGTAACCTGGCTACTTTATCAGACTCTGACAGGTTTCACTCTGTCTCTGGAGCGCTTGCTGCCTTGGGAATCAGCTGAATGAGTTATTGGTTGGATTTGCATTTTATGAAGAGAGGGAAGGAAATTGGGATGGTAGAGATGGAGGGAGGAAGAAATTACCATTTGTCAGACACAGCCTGAAGCTTTTGTTGGGCTGACAGTAATATTCGAGACATCTATCAGGTTTTCCATGCGGCTCAGAACTCACTGTTGAATAATGAACTTACAGGTATACAAGAACTGTTTTATGGACTCTTCCCAGAAAATAGATCTTTTATTATATGTTTTCATTTATGGATTAATTCTTATGGTATAAATCTTATCTAACATGCCTATTGCAGTGAATTCAGTAGGAAATAAGTTGTTTGGGAAGATGACTACTTTGAAGTTTTAATTAATTCTAACAAAATGTTTTAGCGTATCTTCCTGCACATGGGAACTGTGTATTGGAAATTCCTGAGAATTTCAATGTGAATTGTTGGTGCTCACTACTACCCCGAATGAAAACCTGTGAATGTGAGGCTGAGAAACTCAACTCTTCTGTGTCGTGATTCTTCTGTGTACTCTTCCATGTATTACTCAATTATTCAGGGTTTTTTTTTAAGGAGTGATAATCTGTCAGTTTGCTTAGAGTAGTGAAGTGTGCAGAGCGATAGAAGAAAACTTAATTCTTCTGATCTTTGAGGAAGCAGAAGCGTAAGAAAAATAGCTATTATTGAAATACTGCCAACTATGCAGTTGGCATAGCCCTTTGGCTTCTATAGTAAATGATTTCTAAGTCTCCTGATTTTTCTTGACTAATTTTTTGCCAGTCCTTGTATCAGTTGTGGTACACCTGCAGCTCGTTGGCTCGCACAGTATGCTTATCCAAAAGATGACCTTTAGGAGGAAGTGTTGACTTCCCCATATGTCTTTGTATCTCTAACTAGTTAATTTTTTATTTTCTTCTTTCCAGTGAAACCCGAAGAACTTTATGCTTTCTCTTATAATCCTAAAATGTCTAAAGAGAACCGGGAGATTGGATGGAAGTTGATTGATTTAAAAGTAGATTACCAGCGTATGGGAATTCCAAATAACTATTGGGAAATAACGGATGTTAATAAAGACTATGAGGTAATTCTTGCCCACAGTAGCCATTTAATGCAGTATCTCTTCGTTGTTATTAATGACATACAGCAGTCCTGCTGCTGCATAAGTGATGCCTCTGGGGAGGAATGAGCTCAGTTGGTTTTAATCGAAGCAGCATCGTCTTGATGTGAAGTTGCGGATAATGATGCTATGGAAGAGCAGAACAGAGCTGCAGAGTCACCTTGGTTTGCTTTGATCCCCCTGGCACAGCACCAGATACTTGTTTTTCTAGAGAAATGTTAAACCATCTGTTAGAGAAAACCTGAAGTACCCTTAGCTGCTTCTGGTATTTCTAAACCCTGTCCCACCAGGCTGGTGACAGATGTGTAGAAGAGAAATAAATGGCAGCGGTTTGGCTTGGTGGGGGATGAGGCAGAGTGGAAAGGGACTAGGTAAGGAAGGAAAAAAAAGTAATGGAAAACAAGACACTGGGTTTTTTCTTGCTTGGTTGGATCTTCTGCTAAATAAGGGCTCTCAGTCATTCCAGTCCTAAATGGCTGCTGCTGTTATTTTCTTCTTTCTCCCCTGTAAGGCCAGTTTGGATCTAAACAACATTAAATGAAAGTATTTTTCAGCAAGCTTACTCAAACTCCTGCTTCATGTTATTTCCCTTTTTATTTTTTCTGATGTTGTGTAGACCTTTCTAAAGCAAAGTGTCTTTTAGACAAACTCTGAGGAAGACACCAATATATTGTCTTGAATCGCTTTCCCCTGCTCTCCGCTCCCTTCCACCACTAGTTTTCTTTACTGTTATGCTTTGGGTTGAAGAAATACAAGCCTGTGCTGTTAGAACTGACCAGTAATTTTAAATTACTATCTTTGCCTGAATTGAGATATGGTATGAGAGGTGCTTTTTCTATTAGCTGACTAGGGCATCTGAAATCATTAATCACTTTGAAGCTTTACTTGCTAGTATGTAACTCTCAAGTGCCAGTGGTTTATAATTTCCTCAGGTTTTCCAAGTTAAGTTTTAAAATTGTCAAGCCTAAAGTAAAGCCAGACTTGGAGAACAGCTTATCTGTGAAGTACGTGCTGAAAAGACTGTACGTGCTTGAGGGGAAAAAGGATAAAGCTGATCTCTGAGGATGCTACCTGATTGCTGGAAGCTTGTTTCAAGTTGAATAAGATTCAGAGGGAACTCCTTAAATATAGTTGTTCGTAACTTCTCTTTTTGTGACAAATCAGAAACTTTCAGAAAACTTGTGGATTTAAAGAGCTTCCTTTTAATATGTATTGTGCAGTCCATTTTTTTAGGTTCAATTGCAAAGTCGATTGTTTCCTTCACCACATTGTTTTATTCTGCACTATTCCTGTGTTTTTCTAAATGCATCTTAATGGCTTGAAACTTTAGGTGTGGACTGTGTAAGATACACTATGGCAAACAGTCTTTTCCTGTTGTTTGTAAATGCTAGATCATAAGCTAAAGACTATTTTTTTTTTTTTCGTGAATTTTGAATTGTTAAGTGGTAATATCTGGATTTTTTTTTTTCTTTCTTGTCACTTAGGTTTGCAACACATATCCTCCAGAAATAGTGGTGCCTAGAGCTGCTAATAAGGCAGTGGTGATCGGAAGTTCAAGGTTCAGAAGCAGAGGGCGGATTCCAGTGCTTTCTTACTTGTATAAAGAAAACAATGTTAGTTGTTCATTATCTGCTGTCTTTGTGGGGTGTAGGGGTTCCCCTTCTAGTCAAGTTCCTTTTTAGTGAAAGGAAAGAATGAGATAATTATTAGAGCATATTAAATTTTTGTTTGAGAACTGTGTTTCTTAACGGCTTTAATATTGGTTTGTTCTGAGTCACAGAATAAGCTAAAGCCAAATACTTACGGTGCATCCAGAGCTGTGCAAAAAGCACAGACTTTCCAGGTTTCCTGTCTGGAATTTTTTAAATCAGCTTTCAGCAATGTCTTGTTATGTGGTGTGTTTTTTTTTTTTTTCAATCTACTGTCTAGCTCTATTGAATAACAAGATACGTGTTAACTCAGCTAGATTTTCTTAGTATTGAAGAGAAGGAATCATCCTGAAGTAAATTCCCACTAGCTCAGAATAAATGAAGGTTTCGGTTTGTTTTTTCCACTGAAGACCAGAATGTAAGTTTTTAACTTTGCTGTCTCAGCAGTGTTTTAGATGCAGATGTTAGGAAATTGCTGTCACAGTCAAATTGTTGTTTTCCTGAGGAAGTGTGCCTTGACCTGGGCAACTGTACGGAGTTGTGCTGGCAGCTATTGAAATTTCCCTAAAGCATACTTGGTGCAGTTCTGAGCATGGAATGGTAACAACTGATAAGCAAAGTCGTGGAAAAGATTGGCTTGGACAATAGAAACCAAGCAGAAAACATGAGAAACACTAACATTTGGGATACTGATCGTCAGGCAGAGCATAGTGGGTTTGAGAACATAGTGCAGATTGCAGCAGGGCTCCTGAGTTGAACTGCTTTCTTAAGATTCCCAAATTTCTAGCTTTGAGAAATATCCCAGTAGTATTTCTGTGTGTCTGTTTGATTAGCAATTTTGCGGTGAAACAGAGAATAGGACACTTAACACCAACAACTTAGTGTTCTTTGGGGCAGTGGAGTAGAGACGATCGGAAAGCAGAAAAATGTGAGCTGTTGTGTGTTGCAGGCTGCCATATGTCGTTGTAGCCAGCCTCTCTCCGGGTTCAGCGCACGCTGTCTGGAGGATGAACAGATGCTGCAGGCGATCAGAGAAGCCAACCCTGGGAGCCCCTTCATGTATGTTGTAGACACAAGGCCAAAGGTATCTTCATGGGGTTTGTGGCTACTTTTAAAGCTTGCATTTCAATTGGTAGTGCTGTTTCCAGTTCATCTTTCACAACTCTGCTAATGCTTTCTTATCATAGAATGGTTTGGGTTGGAAGGGACCTTGAAGATCATCCAGTTCCACCCCCCTGCCCTGGGCAGGGACACCTCCCCCCAGCCCAGGTTGCTCCAAGCCCCGTCCAACCTGGCCTTGAACACCTCCAGGGATGGGGCAGCCACAGCTTCTCGGGGCAACCTGCCCCAGGGGCTCACCACCCTCAAAATGAAAAATTTCTTCCTGAGATCTAATGCTGCATTGGTATCAGGCTCGTGGTTCGGTGTCCTAATGTGACGAATGCTTGTGCATAATAAAACTGCAATGTTAAGTGCTGTTGAGAACGCTCGTGCTCCTGGAGTGTTCTGGGCTGAGGCTGGTGTTAAGGATGACCTGAAGCAACTGGCAGTCTTGAAGCTGGCTGCGACAGTGAAGCGTTTTCCTGCAGAGCGCTAGGTCCTTAATATGTCGAGTTGGAGAGAAGCCTTAGGATTCTGTTCCACAAGGCTGAAGTGCTTTTATCAGCAGACCTGGGAAGAAGTGGGACTGTATGGAGTCTGATAACAATTAAGAAAAGCAAACCCTCCGGCTTTCTGCCTTGTAAAAATAACACAAGTGTTCTCATGATGTGCAGCTTGGCATTTAATACAGTTCAGCTCTTCTGGCCCATAGCTGCTCTTTGGGGCTAGAACTTTGCTGAGCTGTTTGTGTAAGAGGATATTGAAGAAACATTTGCCAAATGAAATCTCTGACTCTTGTCTTGAGGAACTGAATTTAGAAACCAATTCAAATTACTGTTTTGTAAGTATATTGATTGGGACCATCAGTATAAACAAATAAGAACATCAGGATCAATCTTTTAAACAAAGATTATTTTAAAATTGAGCTTTCTGACAACCTGCTTTGCTGTTCAGATATTACAGTTATTTTATAGAAACTACAGATTCAGTTAAACTGTGGCAAGGGCAAGAAGGAAAACTTGGGAACAAGGAATGTTTCACCTGTTTTGTTCCAAAATGTATTTTGGCTTTTTGTTGTATGACATTTCCTAGAGATAAACACACAATTACAGAATAGGTTATAGTAATCACTGCATGTTCTTTTGGTACAGACAGTTTCCAGTATCATAGATGTTCCACTGAAATCTATCATTTTTGTGCTGAAGTATTTGGTGAAAAAGGGAGAATATATAATTGGTCACACTTCTAACACAACATGTTTTACTCTGAATGGTAGAACTGAAGTACTAGGGTTATTTAATTGTTCTAAAGATGTATATACTGTACCTGACTCTTCCTTCTTTCCTCTCTATGGAGGCAAATCGCTCCTGTTCCCAAATTACTATGTGTGGGGTTGAGGTGCTCCTTTTTTTGGTTGCTGCTAAATATTTCCTGGTAGCTCTTGAACTGTTTTGGTTAATTGTTAGAGCAACTGGCTTCTTTTCTACTTCTTTTCTGCTGTTCCAGTTGGTTGCTGTATTCTTTCTGCTCAACTGTAATATTTCTATGTTTCCCTCAGGTGGCTTTATTTCATCTGTGCATGTATGTCTGAAAAGCTTTGGAATTCTCTTACTATTTCTATACCACCATGTATGTATGTTACTCGTACAAATGGTTTTCCTAGTTTTGCTTTCCTGTCCTTCTGCCTGAATCATTTTATGTAGCTTCACAGTTAAGGCAGACTCAATGTCTCTTTACCTGTTTTGATGACACCAGTATTCTGAAATTGGGCACATTTTTTATAATGCCTACCCTAAGAAATTTTTAATGAGTCTCTGCATATGACTAATGGACTGGAGATACTGGCATAATTTTAGTGAAACAGCTGGAAGTAATGTCTGGGAGGTGGGGAAGTATGTCTGAGTAACAGCTTTGTTCGTTATATTTTCTGGGAGATTTTAAAAGAAGAAGGACTTGCTAAACACTCATTTATGTCTGTGTATTGTTTGTTATAATTTTTTCTTTCTTTTCAATCCTGTGCCCATTCCCCTTGAATTTCACAGTTAAATGCCATGGCCAACCGAGCTGCTGGGAAGGGTTATGAGAATGAAGATAATTACGATAACATTCGCTTTAAATTTATTGGCATAGAAAACATCCATGTGATGCGGAACAGCTTGCAGAAACTCCTGGAAGGTATGTATGGTGTGTGCAAGTGGCCAATCTTCATTGTCTTTGGCTACTTCTGGACAGAACCTTTTGCTGAATATATAAATCCCATGTGCCCAAGTGCATGTGGACTTGGGTGTTGTGGTGGAAGCAGATGAGCAGTCAGTATCTTACTTTGTTTGCTGTATTGAAGTGGCTGAAAGTATTAGTGGTGTTAAAATGCTTTCCTGCTAGACGTTTTATTTATTATTGTGCTTAGTTTTATAGTGGTTCAAAAATAGCAACTAATACCTTAGGGAGAAATGCCAAGCAAGGCAGAAGAAATAGTTCCCTGAGCCTTTGGAGATCAAGAGGTGAATCGGGCGCATATTTTCGCTAATGCACTCTTGGAGAAGTTCCATTAAAGGTGATGGTGTAGCTTGGCTCAAACCAGTGTACTCTGCTACCTGGTTTCCAGCACTATTGCCATCCATGTGCTGACAAGGACTGCAGAATGGGGCAGAGTAGGTGCTGCAAATCATTCTGCTTGGTCCCTGTGCTTAGTTTTCTAAAATGTAATACAAATGCTGGTGTTCAAAATATAAGTTTAATGTTTTAGTAACCAGCGTAATGGTCATCTTGTTTCAAAATAGTTGAATAATGGATGCTACCAATTGCTTGGCCAGGTAGCACTGCAGATCTGTGGTGACCTTGGAGAAAAATGTGGCTGTTCACACCACCAAGAGATTGTCCTGATCACAAGTATAAGTCCGCAATTGCCTGTTCCTGGCAAATTTATTTTGTGGTGGAAGAAGAGGCAGAATAAACACTTCTTTACTCCTATATTCTTAAACAGTGATAAAATCTCTCTTGCTGGTGCTTACGGACTATTAAACTGTATTACTATAAGTATTTTCTATGCTGGGTTTCAATACAGTATCTGAGTTACCTTCAAGGTTAGACATGTTATTTCTCTCTAAATTAGAACTCTTCTTCAAATCTCTGTGATGGTGACTGCATGTTAGTGGTTGTTGGATGTGTGTGCGATGGTGATTTATAGTGAATTAACAGGTCATTAAACACTTTGTTGGAAAAAACACAGCTGAAAAAATGAGTTACCATTTAAAAAAAAAAAAAAAGAGGAGGATGATGTTTTCAGATCCTCCAGTTCTCTCACAGCTAAAAATTTCTGGTTTGTGTATTTTATGAACCAGTAGTTTCTGTGTCCTTTAGACAGGATATTGCTGCTGACACTTAAAGTGTGGAAATATTAGTGTTTAGGATCCTACCAAGCTCTGTTGCTGTGAAGAGGTAATGAGGAGGTGGGAAAAAGAAAGATGTTAATGGAGTGTCAGCTAATTCCTTTGTTTGTGTTCTTAGTGTGTGAAATGAAGTCCCCCTCAATGAGTGATTTCCTCACTGGGCTGGAGAACTCAGGTTGGTTACGGCACATTAAGGCTGTGATGGATGCAGGTGTCTTCCTTGCCAAGGTAAAACTGTACCCCAACCTGCAGGTGAATTTAAAAATATGTACTTACCTGCTAGGGACTGCTGCAAGGCTGTGAAGTTGTCTCTGGAGAGAAGGTGGGAAAACATTGCTATGCAGGTTGGCCTCAGCTCTCGAGAACAAGCCTGCAGTTGGAGAACATCAAGTGGGTTACCCTGCTGGTGCTCTCCTCGACACTTCCTGTGACTAAATCAAATGCCGTAGGGGTTGAGACATTGTCCTCTTCACTGTATTGTAACAAGCAGTTATCTAGGTTTTATTAGAACTCATTTCTGAGCTGGATAATGCAGGTTAGGGGCTGACCTGCTGGAGAGCAGCTCTGTGGAAAGGGACCTGGGAGTCCTGGTGGCCAACAGGATGCCCATGAGCCAGCAACGTGCCCTGGTGGCCAAGAAGGCCAATGCCATCCTGGGGGGCATCAAGCAGAGTGTGGCCAGCAGGTGGAGGGAGGTCATCCTCCCCCTCTGCTCTGCCCCGGGGAGGCCACATCTGGAGCACTGTGTCCAGTTCTGGGCTCCCCGGGTCAAGAAGGACAGGGAGCTGCTGGAGAGGATCCAGCAAAGGGCTACGGAGATGCTGAGGGGACTGGAGCATCTCTCTGATGAGGAAAGGCTGAGGGATGTGGGGCTGTTCAGTCTGGAGAAGACTGAGGGGGGATCTTACCGATGCTTATAAATACTCAAAGGGAGGTGCCAGGGGGATGGGAACAGTCTGTTTCCAGCGGTGCCCAGTGACAGGACAAGAGGGAACGGGCACAAACGTCACCATAGGCAGTTCCATCTCCACCTGAGGAGGGCCTTCTCTGCTGTGAGGGCGGCAGAGCAGTGGCAGAGGCTGCCCAGAGAGGTGGGGGAGTCTCCCCCTCTGGAGCCATCCCAAACCCGCCTGGACGCTGTCCTGTGCCACTGCTGGAGGTGCCCCTGCTCTGGTGGGGGTGGCACTGGGGGAGCTCCAGAGGGCCCTTCCAGCCCTCACCAGTCTGTGGTTTGGAGCAAATAAAATCACAGAATGTTGAATAATGGACCATTATAAATGTCTCTATATAACGTATATTTAGTAGTGCAAACAACTCGTAGCCTCATGCTCGTTTGTTATTGAACTGCTCTGCGGGATTGTTTAGACCTGTTTATTTTATATGTGATGTAGGGACTGCTAATTTGGACTATTCAATGCAGTCCTCATTTCTGCAGAGCTTGTGGCTTTGCAGGTCAAGCAAAAGGAGAGAAGTTGCTAAGGCACATGGCTCTTTGGTAATAGTAATGGGCATGGAGGCAACATGTGGCAAAGGCAGAGACCTTCTGTAAATGTTGTCTTGTCTCTCCAAAAATTCTCTTGTGTAACAAGCAAGAAGCTATTGTACCAAAGGGAAGAAGGTGATCCATATGAGAGGAAGTTTGGATGAGCTCTCCTAATTTTTCTTGAGAATTTCCTAGTCCCCATGTGTCCAGTTATTGTTCTTTACTCATCCAACGAATTTTACTCAGGAGAAGGGACTGAGAATTCTCGGTCTTTTGGAAGACAGAGCATTTTGAGATCAGAGGGTCTCTGTTCCGTGACAGCCTGTGTTGCTGACAAGGCACGCTACAGCGTTTCACTCTAGTTGGGGTTTCCTATGGGCTGATGGCTGTGTGCCCAGAAATGGTGCGTTTTCATAGTCCGGATGAGAAATGACAAGTTTTCCCCTGGGGTTTTAGGCCAGTCAGGTAAATGCAGATGAAAGGATAGCATTTAATTATAGTCACCAACTTAGAAAGCTGCTAAACTGTTCTGTCCTCTCTCTCCATCACAGGCTGTGAAAGATGAAAAAGCTAGCGTGTTAGTCCACTGCTCTGACGGGTGGGATCGCACAGCGCAGGTCTGCTCCGTGGCCAGCCTCCTCTTAGATCCGTTTTATAGGACTTTTAAAGGCTTCATGGTAAGAACACAAATGTTGGAATTTCAAAAATAAAAAGTGCTTCCTGGATCTGAAATGTAAACAGGCCCTTAATTAAATGTTTTAGGCCATTTACTGGAACAAACAGTAGGTGACCTATATAAAACCAGCTTTGATTCTATAAATAAGCTTTAATTGCTTGGAATGGCATGGGCATAAAACGGCAGGGGTTGATTTACAATTCCTGAATCTTTGTTTCCTTGTATGTCCACATGAGAGTTGCTAATGAGACATTGCAGCAAGCGAAGTTTCAGTGAGCAAAGGATGCAACTCTGGCAGCAATCCACAAAAAAGGGGTGAAGAGGCTTGTCATTTTGGACTGTTATAGTGAGTGGTCTCTTACCTGCTAGGATTTAAGACTGGGTGAACTCATTCTTGCTTACAGGGCAGCATATAACCTGTATATCATGTAAAAACTGTGCATCATTTAAGACCTTCTTTAAGGCCATAACATACATGAACTTGGCCGTTTGTTTCTACTGCAAGTTCTTTCTCATTTGAAGCCATCACTGCATAAATACGGTGTAATCTGTGATATTATCTTTCCGTTCATCTTCTTTTGTTAAATGCTGAAAGACAGGGTGCTGCTCTTTCTCAGAAGAGTTCCTTAAAAGAAACCCTGAAATCAGAACAACGCACATTTTGCTTCCTCCAGTGTGTTGCACTGCAAGGACTGTTTTCTTGCATTCCTTGCTATTTTTACTATTTTTGCTCCTGGATTATACTGCAATCTTTTGACAGTTAAAATTACATCACAGTGTGAAACATCTGCTTGGGCTTTGGTTGTGCTCTGGACAATTCTTTATGAACTAAGGAATGTAATTCTGATTAGGAACAGGAGTAACTGAAACAGACAAATGCGTGTCTGTCCTCTGAGCAAATGGTTTATATGCACAAATCCTGTGACAGTGGTTATTCCTAAATGAATGCAATGGAAGTGTAAAGAATGGAAAAATTTGAAAAGTAATATAAGTTTTCAAAGACCTCTGTTGTGAATTTCTGCCTTCTTTTTGTTCTTTAAGTTTCTGGATGATGATGTCAGGAATTGATCTTTAAATATGATCCAGCAAGGCAAGTAATAACGGATTCAGGATCAGTCATTTGGTTCTTTATGAAACATACTTCTAAGGAAAATACTGGTTCCTTGTTGTTTTCTTACAGATAGCACAGATGTTCTCTTTAAAAGAGAAATAGCCATATAGTTCTGATTTCATCCTGAACTCCTCAATACACAGCTGTACTTCTATTTCTATTCGTGTTAAACATTTGTTGAATTCCAGTTGCTGGTTTATTTTGTTGAATATCACAGTCCTCTTCTGAATTGAATAGTGCACCGTGTAACATGAAACTGTTAATTCTTTTAGCTCCGTGTGTTTATATATTATAATTTTAACAACACAGAAACACCATCAAAATAGTACTAGACCTGCTTGAAATAACTTCTGATTCCAGCAGTGACATTGTACTGGTAACTGTGGATAACTAACCTATAAATCACTATTTTTATTGACTTGTGTGGTTATACTCATAACAGTAGGGTCAGCTAGTAGCATTGGTCTTAAGCTTTGTAGAGTTTAATGTCAAAGGCTTCATTTTGCTTTTTTTAAATAAAGTAATGCTCTTTTTTCTTTTTTTTTTTAACCGCTGTTTTGAAACTGAAGGTCCTAATAGAAAAGGAGTGGATTGCAATGGGCCACAAGTTCTCACACAGGTAAGAGCAGCATGTTACCTGGGGGGTAGTGACTGGGTGAAGGCTTGGCTGTGAAGCTAATACAGTGTTTTCAGGTTCATGTACTCCCATAAAAAATGTAAATGAAAAGAAAGGATAGAGGAGAGAAGATCTGGAAAATACGGGAGTTGGTGACATAAAGCCGGTATCTGCTGCTGATGTTATTTCATCAGTGCTTTCTTTTATTACTTTACAAACTCAGACAGTCTTGAAGAAATTGTTTGAATTCTGAGTGTTTCTACATGTGAAATTCTACATGTGAAATCACATTCATGTTGTATGAGGAGTGCTAATGTTCTGGCAGGACGTATTAACTCTTCTGCAGTCATCTCCTGGAAGAAAATCTCAGCTAATGTTTTTTGAACTTTCACCAAGTTCAAAGCATAAGCTTTTGCCCAACATGATGCTGAAACCCAATTTGACCTGCATTTCCTGGGCAGATTACAAATGCTGTCATTCCTCTAATCGATAGCCTGCATCTAGTAAGGATTTTACCTTGAATTACTGCTTGCTGTATTTACCATGTAGAAATTAGACACTGAGATGGTCCAAAAGAATATGAGGAGGGAAGGGAATGGTCTATTTAGTGATACTAGCTTGTTAAAAATTGAAGCTTTGTTTTCGATGTGAAATGGATGCCTTTAATAATAAAACAAATCTATTTCCTTAAAGCATATATAGCGAAAATAAGCTGTCTGCACACCCTTATACTGGTATATAAGAAGCAGTCAAAGATAAACTGTCGTTTGGTCATTATTGGCCAAATAAGTGTTCTGTGATCATTGTTTCTGCATCTTTAGAGACTCTTCAAGTTTTAAGACAAAAAAAAAATAATTCCTGTTCTTCTATTAAAGGATTGTTCCAAATATGAGAACTTGGAAATGGATACAAGAAGTAATTATAACATGAATTTCAGCATTTAATAAGAATATGAACTTTTATTCTGGTAGACAAAATCACTCTTCTTGTAGTGGTGGCAGATGCCTTACAGTTCTGAGGGAAATCAGTCCTTCATGCTGCTTCTTAGGGTGTTCTGGTTGAAATCACAGAACCAGGAACCAGGGGTTTGAACAGCTAGATCTCTCTCATAAGAAATCATAGAATCACAGAATGGTTTGGGTTGGAAGAGATCTTAAATATCATCTAGTTCCACCCCCCTGCTCTGGGCAGGGCCACCTCCCCCCAGCCCAGGTTGCTCCAAGCCCCGTCCAACCTGGCCTTGAACACCTCCAGGGATGGGGCAGCCACAGCTTCTCGGGGCAACCTGCCCCAGGGGCTCACCAACCTCAGGGTAAAGAATTTCTTCCTAATAACTAATCTAAATCTCCCCTCTTCCAGTGTAAAACCATTCCCCCTCATCCCATGGCTCCCCTCCCTGATCCAGAGTCCCTCCCCGGCTCTCCTGGAGCCCTTTTAGGGGCTGGAAGGGGCTTTAAGGTCTACCTAGAGCCTTCTCTTCTCCAGGCTGAACACCCCCAACTCTCTCTGCCTGTTGTCACAGCAGAGGTGCTCCAGCCCTTGGAGCATCTTCGTGGCCTCCTCTGGACCTGCTCCAGCAGGTCTGTGTCCTTCCTATGCTGGGGGGCCCCAGAGCTGGACACAGTACTCCTGCCTCATTTTTCCATTAAAGTTTGGGGTTGCCTTGTTTCTTTCTGGAGATTTCCACGTTATATCCCTCCTTAGAAAAGGAGGATTCTGCCCCAAGTTTTTTTCTCTTAAGAAAGAACAGTCATTACAGTACATCCTAAAAACGCAATCATCCTGTTTCTGGTTGTTTTTTCTTTCGTGATAGATTGTAATGAACACTGATAGATCCCTGGCTAGATTTTTGTGGATCTAGTAGGGTTTCTCTGAACTTCATCTAAAGCTGTACAAATAGTTTTGATTGTTGATCTGTGGTTTTCTTTCTCGGATTTTTTTTTTCTTTGGTTTTCTTTCTGAGTAATTGACTATCAAGATTTCATTCTTGGTGCCCATGCGGAGCAAAGTCAGGTTGTTCTGACTGTTGCTGTCCGTTGTGGCTATGCCTGCACCCTGAAATACTCTCACATCCATAGAAGATCACAGAGGACCCTTCCCACCCCCCCACCCCTCCCCACACACTGTTTCTTCTTGTTCCTGGCAGACAGACAGAATCCCACCAATGTAGACCTTTTGTTCCCCAGTTAAGGGCTGGCTTTAGCTCTTGTGTTTGAGCAATAGATGTTTCTTTGGAGAATATTGCTTTTTTTTCCCCCGTGTGGTGGCAACATAGCATAGCCTTGCCTCAAGGATTCCTGTTTCACAAATACTTATGGTGGTGCTTCCAAGTCTGTTATGTAGGCTCTTCCATTGCTAATTTAATTTAGAGGAGGGAACATTGCACAATTCTCGTCACTCCTACCAGGTGCCCATGGAGAACAAGTAATGCTGCGGGTGGCACACCTTGACATACGCTTGCTGTAAAATAAACCACGTGGGGTGTTTTTTCTGACTCTGCAGAGTAATTTCTTATTCTAGTAGTGAAGAAAACTTCCCAGATATTTAATGGCAAGGGGATTCTTTTTTTTGTTGGGTGACACAGGATTTAACCCTGTTTTGTTTGCATCTCTCTAGGTGCGGCCATTTGTGTGGTGACCCCAAAGAGGTATCCCCTGTCTTCACTCAGTTCATTGAATGCGTCTGGCAGCTCATGCAGCAGTTCCCGTGCACGTTTGAGTTTAACGAACGCTTCCTTCTTGAAATCCATGACCATGTCTACTCCTGCCAGTTTGGCAACTTCCTAGGGACCTGTCATAAGGAGCGCGAGGATCTGAAGTGAGTTGGCAGTTTATAGAGCCAACAGTCTAGAAGTCACTTTAAATGTCAGAAGAAGGGCAGGTTGTGTGTGTTTGTGCGTTTTTAATGTCATTGTAGGTTGGTTGAGGGTAATGTTGTCTTGATAAAGGCTTATGTTCTACAGTGTGGAGAAGAATTATAGATTAAAACATCTTTCTTCCAGAACATAATTAATTTGGACCACAGTAATAACTTGCAGATACCCCTTTTGGACTGGATAGTCTCCATTTTAAATGATTATATATTCCTCAGTGATGTATCTTGTGCTTATGAAATTAATCAGATAGTGTGCAAAAATAATTCTTAGCTCCCTTAATCTAATTCTACTGAGAACAGCTAGTGTTATTAATGCACTTAACTTGGTTCATTTTTTTAGTGATTAGATGTTATTTGTAATTGACAGAATCTTTGAGAAGACGCATTCTCTGTGGCCTTTCCTCTTACAGAAGAAGCAGGAATTGAGAAATCCTTTGTACAGAGGATTTACAGCTTACAAAGAGCTTCAACCAAACACACTACCTTTCAGTTTCCAGTAAGTTGCTTATTTAAGAAGGGGAAGAAGGGGAAAAGGGGGGTGGGCATTTCTTTCATTGTGATGTAGACTGGTAATTCAGGTTTACTAAAATAAATTTTCACGGATTAGCATGGTTTGTTTTACCTTTCCCCTCCATTCCTCATCCATAAAGTGAGAGAGTGGTAGTGCACAGGTAATTGCTAAGCAAGTGCAAGTACTGTAATTTAAAATAATAATTTTTCTTTAGTGTTGAGAAAGAGGGTGGGGAAAGGCAAGGAAAAGAGGAATTTCAGATGTGTAGATAGACCCATACACACAGCCCCTGACTGCTCTCTCTGTCAAATTTACGTGATAGGGTAGGCAATTATTAAAGAAAGTTCCTCCTTTCCTCCATTTTAATATATATGAAGGAAGTATTTAAAACAGGAATTTCAGTGCCCAGTCACACCCAGAATTATGCAGTTGGTGGGGGTTTCGCAAGAAGGGATTTCTTGTTGCCATGTCTATTTGCTTGCCCAGGGTGTTAGAGCTGGAGTGGTTAGTTTTGCTTTGGTTCTGGCTTGCTCCTGTTCCCTGCTGAGAGGAATGCAAATGTATTTTTAAGTGCTGTGCATGGCAACTGGCGGGCAAATTGTTTTAACAAAAGTAGGGACTTAAAGCAAACTGAGGACTTGAAGGTGAACTGCCCAAGTGTCCAGTGAGTCGGCTATAGGAAAAAAAAAATGTATGTTTGTCTTATGGTAATACCTGCTGCCGGTGCATGTGGGTCATGAGGCAAAAGTATTTAAATCCTCAGAAGTTTTTTTGAGCTTTATGAAAATTTGCCCATTGATACTGAATTTTATAATTCAATTCTGTGGCAGTTTTTAAAAATAAGTTGCTAATTTCAATTTGTTGAAATTTTTTTTTACTTAAACAGTATCTAGTTTGTTGGCCAGTAGTGTACAATTGGCTGCTTAATTCTTTTCTTACCCTGTTCTTGAGGTTTTGGTGTGGGATGTATAATCGCTTTGATAAAGGAATGCATCCCAAACAGTGTGTATTGGATCATCTGCTAAGCTGCGTGAGCCAAAAGATGAAATTGGAGGACAATGCGTCTGAACTGGAAAATGTGAGTCCTGAATTTTAAGAATATTTAAAATCCCATGATGGTTTTAGTAAATATAACTGGGAACAGCACAATTATTTCAACATGCTGGGCAGAGCTGGGCAAAATGAAGAGTTAAATGATGTTGCTGTAATAAATTGGTTTGATTTCATAAAATTCTCATCTGCTAGGTAAAAGCTGTGTTGGGTCAAGTTTGGTTGCAGGCTTGTGATTCTCTAAATGAAGCAGGTGTTAAAAGAACATCCAGGTTTCAACTCCACTCACAGCAGACTTCAAGGGAGAGGGAGAGAAGAAAAGAATGGGCCTGCTTCTCCCCTCATACATAATATGAATATAAAAAATATTCTTGTTTTCAGCTTGCCCCCACGGTTTTTTTTCCACCTTCTCATTCACAAGAGAGACTGGAAAAACCTGTGATCAACCAGGTATTGAAATGGTTGAGTTACTTAAGTTGACTTTTATGTAATGGCCACAGCATGACTGGATCGTGCAGTCGAATTATCCTCTAAAAGCGGCTTTGGATTTGAAGTGCTTTGCTAAAAACAAGACAGGGAATCTTGCACATTTACTACTTTTATTACTTTACTGTGTTCTGTGGTATTGGAGGGCAGAGATCTTGTGTCCAGAATAACCAGTTTCTCTCCTTCAACCCAGAATAATAAAGTAAACAGCAACACGCTTCACAGTTTGGTCAGTTCTGATTAGATTCGCCAGAGCTCTATTTATATGAAGACAGAGATATCTATCTCAGCAGTGCAAGACGGGGGGAAAAAAAAGTAGATAGTCTTGTTAGCTTTTGAAGTGCTGTAGTTTTGTGTTTCCGTATGTATTGTGTCTGGCTGGGATGGAGTTAACTTCCCCCCGCAGCCCTCGTGGTGCTGTGCTCTGTATTGGTAACCAGAAAGGTGTTGGTAAGGCACCGGTGCTGTGACCGCTGAGCGGTGCTCACACCATCAGGGCTGTCTCTCCAACATTCCCCCCTCACCCAGTAGGCTGAGGGTGGGCGAGATCTTGGGAGGTGACACAGCCAGGACAGGTGACCCAAACTGGCCAAAGGGATATTCCATAGCGTGTGATACCTGCTCAGCAATAGAAGCTAAGAGAAAGGAGGTGGGGGGAATTTGTTATTACGACGTTTGTCTTCCAGAGCAACCGCTATGCATATGGAAGCCCTACTTCCGCGGAATTGGCTGGACATTGCCTGTTGATGGGAAGCAGGGAATAAATCTTTTGTTTTCCTTTGCTTCCATGTGCAGCCTTTGCTTGTGCTTTATTAAACTGCCTTTATTTTGACACACGAGGGTTTTTTTCCGTCTTCTTTTCTCTCCCCTGACCTGTTGAGGAGGGGGGCAATAGAGCGGCTTGGTGGGCATCACCCATCACAGTCCTTTTTGGCACCCAGTGTGGGGCACAAGGAATTGTTTTCTCATTACCCTACTCTGATTTAATTGGTAGTAAATTAAATTAATTTCCCTGAGTCCCTGTTTGGCCCGTGACAGTAACTGCTGAGTGATCTGCCTGTCCTTATCTTGACCCAGGAGCCTTTCGTTACGTTTTCCCCTCCCTGCCCTGCTGAGGAGAGGAGTGATGGAGCAGCTCGGTGGGCACCTGGTGCCCAGCCAGGGTCATCCCACCGCAGTCCTGTACAGCTGCCTGAAAGAAGTGTGGCTCTTTGTGCTTAAGGCTCTACTTGCAATATCCTTTCTATGTATATTAAGAAAAAAAAAAACAAAACAAAACCCAAACCACAAACAAACGGAAAAAAACTCTAAAAATACAGTAGTGGGAGAGTCATCTAAAAATATACCAGTGGAAGACCTATCAGTGTCCCTTGCTAGGTTAATGTGAATGCTGGAAACTTTTAGTTTTGATAGAAACATCATTGTTTAACTAATAAACATGTCATGGTCTATGGCCGTGTACTTTCATGCTGGATTACAGAGCTGAAAAAGACAGTGACACAGGACTATTACGTTGACAGTTGTTTTTTGTAGATCTCTGACATCTGGGAATAATAGCTTACATTAATTTTTTTTAATGTCTTCTTTTTATTTGTGTAGAAACTTCCTTTCCTTGATGGTCCTTTGCCCAGTGAAGCTTGCTCCTTATCTAAAGTAGGACGTGCTGCTTCCAAAACACCGATGCTCAACACTCCTCAGGATTACGAAGGGGACCCACCTCCTGCGCTGAGCAATGGCGCCTCGGCAGGAGTTACGGATGTTATGTCGGATGTGGACCAAAGGAACAAACAGAACCTGTCTCCTCACCAGGACCTCCGTGATCGTAGCGACACCATTGACGTGTTGGACTCTGAAGCTAAGGATGGAAAGCCTCAGCACCATTGATGGGCTCAGAGAACTGTGTTCAGTGAACCAGGCGCCCCGGTGGTGAGGCGTAAGGGAGCTGTGCCCCCGCGAGGGCGTAGACCCCCCGAACCATTTACAGCTAAGTGAGAGTACGTATGTTTGCAGGGAGCTGTGCTCGCTGTAGAGAAGACGGTCTGCGTTTGGTTTGGTTCGCATCGTTTTGCAGCTAAAATGGTGAAATGCGTACAGAGCTGCCCAGAAGGCTGCCTTGAGTTAGTATAAACCTTATTTTTCAGTGGAAACACGATGTGTGTTTAAGGTTTATGACTTCCAGCCAGTACTGGTATTTCAAGCTGAAAGAAAACTTGGCCAATTAATGTGGGTCTTAGGACTTAGGACGTGTTTATAACTGGAGTAGGAAAGATGCAATCCATTTGTTCTCAGTGGCGGTGCAAGGTCATCTTAAAATGATAAAAAATTTCAGTTCGTTTTAAAATGATAAAAAACAAAATAATTAATCTTTTCTTAGCTGTGAATGAATCTCTGCATGGACCCTCACCTTGTGGCAGATCTGATTCATTTTTTGTTTCCTATGCATATTTGTTAAACAAAAACACCCCCCTGTGCCTTTTTATGGAGACCGTTTTAATGTCTAGCCACGCAATGTACTATTTTTACTATGGTAGTGTAGAGTGTAGTATTTGGTCTTCTTTGTAGTCAGTATTTTTAAACAACATTTTTTATCCGCTGCCGGCTTTGCCAGAATCTTTGCCGATCCCCTGAGTTTAGTAGCTTCTTTCTAAGCCAGCCTTTCAAAGAATAAGCTTTTATGAACCTCATTTACTGATTGTGAGGGTGCAGCAAGCCACAAAGCCTGCAACACATGAATTTTTGACAGAGGGAGGATTAGAAATGGGAAAAGATAGGGGGGGAAAAAAAAAGAGAAAAATTCACAGAATTCACAGAATTGTTAGGGTTGGAAGGGACCTCTGGAGATCATCTAGTCCAACCCTCCTGCCAGAGCACGGTCACCTACAGCACGTTACACAGGACAGCGTCCAGGCGGGTTTTGAATGTCTCCAGAGTGGGAGACTCCACCACCTCTCTGGGCAGCCTGTGCCAGTGCTCCACTACCCTCAAAGTAAAGAAGTTCCTTCTCATGTTAAGATGGAAATTTTGGATGGAAATTCCATATCCTGTTTTATGATCTTGTTTCAATTTAACCAAGAGAGTAACTCTTTGTTCTAAGCTGGAATCAATGTCCTTTCCTCACATCCATCGATGAGGCAGTAATTACAGATGAGGTGTGTTTTATTATTGAAATGGGCTTTAAAATGATTGCTTCGCATCACAGGCTGAGTGATTATAGTGAATTTTATCTTGGATGTTAAAACATCTCATGTAATTTTATCTGTACTGTCAAGGCATGGAGAGATGAACAATATCTCTCACGGCAATGAACTTTGTAATTTTGTGAAGCTGGTGACAAAATGTAAATTGGGATGTGACCCCTTATTGGGCCAAGAAGTGGCTGTCGTGGCTGTGGCTCCAGCTTGGCCTCACTCCAGTGCTTGTTGCCACTACTTTGTTTCTTTAAACTGCAGTAATCTCAGCTGGCAATACGAGTTCAGAGTTGCAGCTTTAAAATGGAGATGTATATTCCATTTATACAGAAATCTTGTGGAAAAAAATAAGGGCTTGTCTCCCCAGGGGAATGGATGGCCCAGGAAAGGTGTTCCACGGTACTTGGTCTGGACAAGCTTCTACAGATGTGCTTAATTGCACAGAGAGTCCCTTCGTGCAGCTTAATTCAGGATGCTTTTCTGCTTTCTTTTGGATCCTGTTGTTTAAACTGGATGCTACCATTAGGTCTTAAAAATCAGTTTTTCTCTTTTATAAAATTTTGAAACAAACTGAGAATATTTTCTAAGTTAGCCCTCCCAATCTACGGTGAAAAGTAGAAACATTCCGTTACAGCATCATAAAATGCAGTAGCCATTGTTCATATGCTTATAACCTATGGTGAAATGACTAAGTTAGTTTGTGTTCAAGATTAAGGTAGAAAAGAGGAAAAAACCCAACCAAAAACCAAAACAGCCCCATCTCTTCTGAGTGTCTCACTTTGGTTATGAAAATACATATTTTATTAAGCATATCAAAAGACCCAAGGAAAAAGGCCAATACCTGAGAATGCGGAGTTTCTTCAATGCCTAGAATGGCAAAGAGAAACTTTTTTTTTAAATGTTGCAGGTTTTTCAATCTTAAAGCAAGTAATATTTAAGTAGTTTTAAAAAATAGTTGTTTTAAAGGTAGACGTGAGGGCACTACAATGTGCGATTGATTTAAAAACTAAGCCCACTAAAATACTGAACCCGATAGAAGATGTTTGAAATTTGTTGTATGGGTATGTATCAAAAATACTGCATCGTGCAGCAGCTATGTATTTTATTTTGAAAGATTCACGTTTCTGAAGGCATCTTTTCTTAATCTCAAGATGAGTATCTGCTGTCGAGTCTTTTTGCTCCTAAAAAGAGATGTGCTAAGCTCCTAACGTTTATCTACCAGCCTTTTAAGTTTGTCGTATCCATGTACTCCTCAAGCAAAGAGATTGCACCCTAAGACTTAATCGGGTTGCTCTAGGTACCCAGGGTTCAGAATCTGCTGTAGCTTTCACTGGAGGGTGCTGGGGAGATTATTTTCCTCTGCCTCTGTATAGTGTAGAAGCTCAATTTCACGTGTGCACTTTGCAGTTTGGGGCCTGTTTCGCACGGACTGATGGATCAACCCTCTCTGTTCTTTCCAGGTGGTAGAAGACTGTAGTGGATGGTATGCGTTGCTTCTTAAACAGAGAGCTCTAAAATGGTAAATGAGACCAAGACAGGCACTTCTTAGGACCAGTTATTACATGTCATCAGTTCTTTTAATGTGTTGTCTAATGAAAATTAGAAATACAGAATTGTAGAGAATTTTGACTGACTACTGAAGGATTTAGACATGCCGTTGGTTAATCACTGTATAAAAACACTTTGCAGAGGTTTCTATATATGTTTACACATTGCCTTGTCTTTTGAATTACCATAGCTTACCTTGAAAAAAGTATAATAACCTTTTCTTATCCCTAAAAGGTGACACTGACATTTCCACAAATCTTTCTTGACTACAATATTACTACAGGTGCATATAACCATGAAAAGATTACTTCATACACTGAAAGTATTAGTAAGCTTTTAGTAATCTTGCTGCTTTTGCCTTCAGTAACAAAACAATGGATGACTTTATACTCTGAAATGCAAAACCTAGCAAAAAAAAAAAAAAGTAATGGTCTGTCTTTTTAAACCTCTTGGATTTAATGTATACAGACTTGGTCAAAGTCTATGACATAATAAAATCATTCATGCTGGTGCTGTAAATTTACAAAGCTGGAAAAAATTCCAGCGTTCCCTGGCTTTCCATGAGACTATTTGTTTGAAAATGGATGAGCTAGAAGCTTTTTAGTTTTGATGGTAATTCTTGTGTGTTTTAAGACCAAAAATGAAAAGCTGTTCCCAGCTCTGCAGCGTGTCCTCAGGTCTCTGCTCAGCCGGGACTGGCTTCCCGGCTTCCCTTGCAGAAAGCCCGTGTGCGTTCCCTCATTCCGGAGTGCTCCGCTGACAGCAGTGAGTGGTTTGATTATAGATTTCCTTTAACACTTTTCGGGACCATAAAAGCTGTTACATAGGAATCTTCTGATGTAAGCACTGTGTAGGTGAAAAGTTACTATGACTTATTTATTCCTAGCGGAGCATCCACGTGTTGTGAAGTCACGAATACCGGTTTTTATTTGGAGCTGTTAAGTGAACAATGCAACTTACTGCTTTCTGTTTGGATCCCTCTGACTGGGAGGGAGGAGGGATGCTATTTTGCTGCGGATGGGCTCTGTTTGTGTAAAACTCTTCCTTTCCTGGAGCACCTCTTGCTTTACCAGGACATTCCATGGTATCGTGGTTTCACGCCTGTACATAGTGTCTTCTCTTGCTACGAATAGGCATAGCGCTGCAGTGGGCAAGTGCCTATGATAGTCTGCGTCAAAGCTACTACTTTGAAGTAAACAGGGACTCGTGTAGCTTTCTTTCTCGGTTGAAATGTCTTAATGTGAACTTCACAATGCTGGATTCTTAAATTGTATTTTGTTTTGCAGTTGTCACCTGTGGTAGAGAAAATCCAATCGCTGCTGTTTGCTTTGCAGAAAAAGGAACAATTGGTTTGTACGTAGAGGATCTAGTCCTCAGTTGGCCCTCTTTCATGGGAGAGAAAGAGAAGTTTGCTAAAGCCGATAGGTATAATATACTCGTAGCTGCATATTCTGTTCCTGCTCTTAGTAAATGCCTTTCATTTAATTGCTTAGAAGAAAAATCCACCTGCTGTGTGAGTGCGCACATAAAGGTACCCTGACTGGGGTGGAGAAGGAGCCTTGCTGGTCAGGTTCAGCCTGTGTCGGTGTGAGCTTCTCAAGTCCTGGTGAGGGAGCCTCGCTGGGGGCTGAAGGTGCGCTGAGCTTGGCGGGCTCTCTGCCTTGAGTTTGGACCTTGTTGGGTTATGGGTGGAAATCTGTTGTTTCCATCGGGTTTGGAGATGGTTCAGCCCTAACAGGGGCTGAGAAAGCGCCTGTGCACAGCTGTCACACCTGCAGCGAAAGCATTAAGAAGAGCTCTTGTGCCAGACTCCGCTTCAGTTTGCTGTCTGGCAAAACCGGTCTTTGGGTAGCTGTGGTGCCTGATGGTTGCTCCCCGGAAGGGATCGTTTCTTGGCACTGTTTGGTAATGAATATTCACGAGTGACCAGCAAAACTCAAAATGTGTCTGCTGTTTTGCTCTCCTCCCCTTCCCTACCCCTCTGGCCTTGAGTGCTGGGGTCATTTTTTGTGCGGACCTAACACAGTTACTCCTTGTTTACATACCGTCCCTCTTGCACATGCAGGCACTTCTTGTGCCTCAGGGCAGAGCAGGGGGAAAAATCTGTTCTGAATGTAGTAGTTTAATTGATACACAGCACTTGATTAATTAGATGAGGGATGTCTTGAACCTGGTGATGTTAAAGTCCATGTTTTCGTCGGCGCTAAGGGCAGCCAGGTCAGTGCCAACTGCAGTGGGTGTTATTTGTTAGGGCAAGTGTTCTAATGTACAGCGCTGCGTCCTTTTGGCATCTCTGAACTACAGAAGCAATGCAGAAAGAGGGGAGGTTAAAGTGCTTGACCTACATCTCTTCCCGTATCATTTATCTATGTATACGCGTCTGTATTTAATGTAGCGGCATACTACTGGAATAACTTGTAGCACTGGATCTAGTCATATGTAACTGAGCACACATACGTACTTCTACTGTCATCCACAAACTGGTCTTTGTAGGAACGTACCTAAAACTGTGTGTAGTACTTAACTGAAAACTGTAAATGTTTTTGCTGTTTAAGTCGGTTGCTATTTTTGTCAGTGTAACCGTTGAAGGACAGTTGTGTAAAATTGTGGATGATGAAATCCCATATTCTTGAATGTGCTGCGATGGCTGTGTATGTGTAAGTCATGTTAGTTCATGCACTGCTTAAAAAGAACAAAAATTGTACCATGTTCAGAGGAGCACTGTGTCCTTTCTCTAAATGTATTTGTCCCATGAAGTTCCACTTGTATTAAGGTTTATTTTTATTCCCTACAAAAATAAATACCTTGCCTTTTTAAAGTAAGTGACTGGTCTGGTTATTGGTTAATTAAACTCAAAGCAGAACTTCACACTTTAAAATGTGCAATCAATTGAAGACTCGTAAGTAGGGAGCTTATCTCAAACTGAGTGTGATTCTGCTTCCCCTTCTTTTACAGAATAGAAACTGGGTGACCTCACTGGTTTTGGAGGGACTGTGGAGTGCAGCACTGCTCAGTGTCTTTAA